GTCAAGTTCCTCCACCCCAAACTCACTCATCCATTTCTTCATGAACCTTGCTTTGTGCACTGGTGTGCAGTCATGTTGGAACAGGAAGGGGCCATCCCCAAACTGTTCCCACAAAGTTGGGAGCATGAAATTGTCCAAAATGTCTTGGTATGCTGACGCCTTAAGAGTTCCCTTTACTGGAACTAAGGGGCCAAGCCCAACCCCTGAAAAGCAACCCCACACCATAATCCCACATCCACCAAACTTTACACTTGGCACAATGCAGTCAGGAAATTACCATTCTCCTGGCAACCGCCAAACCCAGACATGTCCATCGGATTGCCAGACAGAGAAACGTGATTGGTCACTAAAGAGAACATGTTTCCTCTGCTCTAGAGTCCAGTGGCGGCGTGCTTTACACCACGGCATCCTACGCTTTGCATTGCACTTGGTGATGTAAGGCTTAGATGCAGCTGCTCGGCCATGGAAACCCATTCCATGAAGCTCTCTACACACTGTTGTTGTGCTAATCTGAAGGCCACACCAAGTTTGGAGGTCTTTAGCTATTGACTCTGCAGACAGTTAGTGACTTCTGCGAACTATGCACTTCAGCATGCGCTGACCTCGCTCATTTTACGTGGACTACCACTTCATGGCTGAGTTGCTGCTGTTCCCAGTTGCTTCCACTTTGTTATAATACCACTAACAGTTGACCGTGGAATATTTAGTAGCAAGGAAATTTTCATGGATGGACTTATTGCACAGGTGACAACCTATCACAGTACCATGCTTGAATTCACTGAGCTTCTGAGAGCGACCTATTCTTTCACCAATGTTTGTAGAAGCAGTCTGCATGCCTAGGTGATGATTTTATACACCTGTGGTCATGGAGGTGATTGGAGCATCTGAATCCAATGATTTGGAGGGCTGGCCTAATACTTTTGGCAATATAGTGTATGTTTCAAGCTAAGTGCATTTATGCTAGGTACTGTATCATTGTTACACTTCCACGTATTTATTGCCTCTCACAGAGATTACAGTACTCTCCAATTAAACTCTTTCCTCTGCTTTACTCTTTGGAAGCACAGAACCATCTTTGTTCAGGCATCATCCAGGGTTATTATCTACTTCCTGCCTTGAGTTGGTAGTCCAGAGATTACACAGTTCTATATTTCCTGGTGCCTGTGCAGTTTTTTGGCAGTGTTTAGAAATGTCTGACATAGACCATCCCCTGATGCATCTTCTCATCTTATGACTTGTTGCCACGTTAGAAGGTTGCCTTCTGATCACGGGGGAGGGAAGACTGAGGAAATACTTCCTCCCGCCTGCAGCAGACTGATGGCCCCAGCTTAGTTTGGGCAAAGTCACTGGCCAGGACTGGGGCATTTTAGACTTAGCAGCTCAAAGCCCGGGGGCCCTTCCCTCGAAGTCTGGTGGCGGAACGCCAGGGCCCAGTCGCAAGTACGACCTTTGCCAATAGTTCCGCCATGGGTGTCAGTGTTTTTTTTATTCTAATTTTATTTTTTAACATTTTATTTATTTATTATTTTACAATTTTAGATTTTATCATTTTTTACAATTTTGTTTAGGAGCCCCGTTGGGGGGACTTTGGGGAGATATCAGAGGTCTACAGACCCCTGACATCTTACCTTCGAGACCGAGAAAGGAGATTGAAGACACAGCCCTCAGTCTCCAACTCTGGAGCCTCAGCAGCACAGAATGAATGGACAGGAATAGCTCTGTACATGGCTTCGCATTCATTCATAAACTGAAGTATTGTAAACACAGTTTACTATACCTCAGTTCTGAATGTGCAAAGTCAGTGATCGGTACCGATCACTGTCTGTGCATTCAAACAAGGAAGGGGCATATTTACCGGCATCTTCCCTGCTCTCTATTCTGCCATATCCCCCGCAGCAGCTGGCAGGATAGGGGAGGGGGGAACCCGGCAGTGCTGCGGGGAGGAGGAGGGCCTGAAGAGAGCACATGGGCCTGGAGAGAGCACAGGGGGACCAGGAGACAGGACAGGAGTCTGGGGGCAGCAGAAAGAAGATGGATAGCTGGGCAATATAGAGGAATCGATACATCCGTTTCTCCCCCTGCAGCAGCCGCTGAATGCCTGCAAGAGAAAAAGGAGGTGAAGCGGGTATTCAGCAGTGGCAGGAGAAAAATGTATGGATCGGTCCCTCTATATCAGCCCACTGCCCCTCCTATCCAGGAGACATGGAAAGATCAGTTCCTCTATGTGCTACCCCCCCAATCAAGGCAAATGCCCGCTGTGCCCTATGGCCAATCTATTCCTGCCTTGTGCTCAATGACTACTTTGAATTATAAAAAGTAGATTTTTTTTTTTAAAATGTGTACTGATAATATATATTCTGACATTCCAGCAGTTTATTTAGGAGGTTAGCAAAATCCATTTTTCATGTTAAATGCAAGCATGTTACATAATGTGCAAGTATCACACCTCCAGTTACTTGTTTCCTCTCTCAGAGAACATGGTGCTCCCCCTGGCAATGGGGTTGATTTACTAAAGCTGGAGAGTGCAAAATTCTGGTCAGCTTCCAGTTTTTTGGAACAAACTAAAGTTACAAGGTGATGGGCAACCATGCACAGCTGTACCAGATTTTGCACTCTCCAGTTTTAGTAAATCAACCCCACTGCATTTATTCGCTTTTTTCTCTAGAAGGACGACACCATTTTTGTTCAGACATCATCTAGATAAGTCGCCATTTATTTCCTGGATTTGATGCTGGCTTAGGGTCCATGCACACTGGCTTAAAAAAAATACCAGTGATCTTGTAAAAAAAAAAAACCCTCTAATTCTGAATATTTTTGTACTAGCATTTAGTCACATTTAGGCGTGTTTAGGTACATTTAGTATTTTTTTATGCCAGAAAACTCCTCTCAAAAATGCAAATCAGAAGGGTTTTTTTCCTGCCTTTAAACATAAAATGCTAAATTCTAAAATGTTAAACTCCTAGAAGCAGCATTTTTTTAAGCCAGTGTGCATGGACCCTTAAAGACGATACAGTCATGTAAATCCTGATGCCTGTGCTGCTCCTGGCTGCGTTCACATATATCACACTAATCAACCGCCTGCTGAAGCCTCTTAAAGTGGTTTTAAAGCGGAGTTCCAGCCCCCATAAATTTTTTTTAAAAACAGCTCTCTCGTAATTATTAAAACCTGCAGTTAAATATGAGACTACTGTCATGGATTAACCACTTGCCAACCGTACTATAGCCGAATGACGGCTACAGCGCAGTTGTCCAGTTCTGGGAGGGCGTCATATGACGTCCTCCCAGAACGCACCCTCTGCGTGCCCCCGGGGGGTGCGCACCCGGTGATCTCCATGTGTTGTAATGTAATGTTGTAAAAGGCCAATCACAGCGACCTTTTACCACGTGATCAGCTGTGTCCAATGACACAGCAGATGACCGGTAAATGCAGTTGCTGGTTATTGGCTGCACTTTACTCATGCTGTCACAGTATGTGGAAAGTACTGCCGAGAACTGGAAATTGTCAAAGGACGGATCAGCACCGATCAGTGCCCAGCAGTGCCACCCACCTTTGCCCATCAGTGCCCAGCAGTGCCCCTCATCAGTGATGCCCAGCAGTGCCACCCATCAGTGCTGTCAGTCAGTGCCCAGCAGTGCCACCAGTCAGTGCCATCAGTCAGTGCTACTCATCAGTGCCCATCAGTGCTGCCCATCAGTGCCGCCTGTCAGTGCCCATCATTGTTGCATATCAGTGCAGTATCATCTGTGCCGCCTCATCAGTGCCAGCTCATCAGTGCTGCCTATCAGTGCCACCTATCAGTTCTGGGTATCAGTTCTCATCAGTGCTGCCTATTCGTGCCAGCTCATCAGTGTCTCCTATCAGTGCCTATAAGTGCTGCCTATCAGTGCCCATCAGTGCTGACTCTCAGTGCAGCCTCGTCAATGCACATCAGTGAAGGAGAAAATGTACCTATTTGCAAAATTTTAGAATAGAAACAAAGAAAAACTTTTTTTTTCACATTTTTTTTCTCTTTTTTTTGTTTATAGCGCAAAAAATAAAACACCCAGCGGTGAGTAAATACCACCAAAAGAAAGCTCTATTTGTGTGAAAAAAATGGTAATATGGGCACAGTGTTGCATGACCGTGCAATTGTCATTCAAAATGCAACAGCGCTGAAAGCTGAAAATTGGCCTGGGCAGGAAGGGGTATAAGTGCCCTGTAGGAAAGTGGTTAAATCATGCTCGTTATGTAAATAATCTAAATTTTCATGGATCTCAGAAGCAGGTAGGTTCCATGATGGATGTGGGCATTTGAAGCCCGCTACTGTACACTTCCTGGATTAGGTGCTGCTGGCTATCCCAGCAATGCACCTCTCGATCTCGCGCATGCTCAGTAAGGACACTGCACAGCACAAGTTGTTTAGAACAGATTGCCATAACAATGGAAGAAGTTCACGCCCCATTGTTATGGCAACCTTTCAATGAGAATCGGCAAAAGGAGAAAGCTTGTCTCCGCCTGGCATCGCGTCATTTCCGGTTTGGAAATAACGCAATGCTACAAGCGGGGGATGCTCGTTTATTTCTGTGATTGATGACCCATCGATCCCAGGCAGAGGCAGACTGACAAACTCATTGGGCCCCCGGGCAATAGGGAATCATGGGGCCCCTGTGTCCTTGCCCAAACTCAAAAAAACCTATGAAAAAGGTACCAGGGGCATCTCATGGGGCCCCCTACTGACCCCGGGCCCTCGGGCAGTGCCCGAGTTTCCAAATGGTCAGTCCGCCCCTGATCCCAGATAACAGCGGGTGGCCGGAGATGACATACCTCGCCGCGGCGAGATACAATGAAAGTTCTTGCTGTATGCCTAAAAAGGTATGCAAACCTTTACAAAAAAAAAAAAATACCTAACCAGGGGCGGACTGACCATTTGGAAACTCAGGCACTGCCCGAAGGCCCGGGGTCAGTAGGGGGCCCCATGAGATGCCCCTGGTACCTTTTTCATAGGCTTTTTTGAGTTTAGGCAAGAACACAGGGGCCCCATGATCCCCTATTGCCCGGGGGCCCCATGAGTTGTCAGTCCGCCCCTGTACCTAACTATATATGGACAACAATAAGGAATATTTTGAACTAAACTTGAAAAAACAGGTGCAACTCCACTTTATGCCCTTACATATACCCAGTGAAGTGACTGTCCTCAGATGATACACAGAGATGAAACAAATCCTCCTACAAAAGTTGTACCTGTTTATCTGCAGCCATATCTCCTTTATAGCTGTTCAAAGAGCTAACGTTTAAACAAAATTTACACAGCATTTCTGAGCTTTATAAGGCAGAGGGTGGGGATCTGATGTGCACACACTGCACAGCACAGAGAGGAGAGCTTAGTGTAGTCTGAGACCTGAGTGGAGAAAATGGACACCCCCCCCATAGGGAAACATGCACAGCTGAGTCTATCAATCACCACTTTGTGCTGGGTGTGTGTGTGTGTGTGTGGGGGGGGGGGGGTTGGTTGCCATCCCCTGTGATTGCTAGGTATCATGATAAATGATCAGAAGTGACTGGGGAAAAAAAGAGAAAAGCCAAAAATTACATTAGGTGCTTTAAATTGAAGCAAGTACACACAATATGAGGATATGCTTTGTTCCTTTTTCATTTCAGAGTTTACAGCCACTTTAATGTTTGCCCAGAGTTCTCCTTTACCACTCCCAATAGTCTGGCTGGAAAGGTAAGGTAAATCTCCTTTTCTTCATGGGAAAAAACATAGTAATAACAAAATTTATTGCTAAGCATTTTGGAAGAAAAACAAACAAAAAGTTAATTTATTCTGAAAAGGTATAATCACTTCCAGCCGTGACTTGCCACCACTACTTAGAATAAAATGAAGCGGTAATTAGAGCTAATTGCAATGATATGCCCAATCTCGGAACAATGCTTTGCACTTCATCTGCTGATATGCATCATCACCATTACTGCTACAGATGGATTTGCAGGGTGGTTCGCGTCTGACATATGAAACACTCAGCAAAGAACTTCCCTTCTCCTTCCAGGAATGCGCAGCGCAGAACATGTCAGTCTGAATCGCTACAAGTGACAAGGCGATAACACAGCCATCGTTGTCAATCCCTTATCCGAGCTGGCACTGTTAACAAGCTGTGATGAACAGTAGCCAGCTAATGTAAAAAAAGACAAAGAACAAAGCACAAGATGTCAAAAGACATTACAGAAATAAGTTGTTTTAAATATGAACTCCAGGCAAATAGCTCAATACATATAAAATAGCCTTTTCAACCTGCAACTCTGTCCATCCAGTCCGAAGATTTACACAGCTCTGCAGCACAGCTCTGCCTGCCTGCCTTTTCCCTTTTCAAGCCTGGGGAGGCAAAGGAGAAGCAGCAGACTGATGAGCTCATCTCTCTTTCACTATACTCATTCCTTCTCTCAGTAAGTCACAGTTGATATACTCCCTGCTAGAAAAGCAGGGGCGGACTGACAACTCATGGGGCCCCCGGGCAATAGGGGATCATGGGGCCCCTGTGTCCTTGCCCAAACTCAAAAAAGCCTATGAGAAAGGTACCAGGGGCATCTCATGGGGCCCCCTACTGACCCCAGGCCCTCGGGCAGTGCCTGAGTTTCCAAATGGTTAGTCCACCCCTGGCTAGAAGTTGATATCAAGTCAAATTTCCAGCACTTACACTGTTTGCATTAAAAAAATACACTTATTTATGTAATAATGAATACAAAGCTGCATTTATTGCAGTCTTTTATATCTGTCCAGGGTTCAGCTCTAAACCAGTACAAGATGACATCCAATTACACACTGTGAGCTGATGCACTTTGCACACCATAAACTGCTCTGCACACTTCTTGTGATCCAGACGCTCTTAAAAGACAGCTCAGCCCAGTTCATGACTTCCACTGCAGCAGGGCAGCATGGTTAGGAAGACACCCCCATCCTGGTGATTGGACAATGAAGAAATAGCAGCACTCTGATAAAGCCATCCTTCTACTCTTTCCACCTGTTGGTGAGTTCACCAGGGATAAATAAATCTGGAACCTGAACCTGGGTTCAGTTCTCAAATTGTTAATCAAATGTTGCTTAAAGTTTGACATTCGCAAACTTTCAGGCAATCCCCATAGCGGCATTACCATTTTTTTTTTAAAATATCCCTTAGATTGTACACCCCTTGAGGGTTAGGGACTGATGTCAATGTACAATATATATGTAAAGTGCTGTGTAAATTGACGGCGCTATACAAGTACCTGAAATAAATAAATACAATAAAATATGTCTGAAATCTAGATTTTATGTATCTATGGGCAGTATTTATTGATTATTTATTTATTTCAGGTACTTATATAGCGCCATCAATTTACGCAGCACTTTACACATATATATTGTACATTCACATCAGTCCCTAACCCTCAAGGGGTGTACAATCTAAGGTCCCTAACTCACATTCATGCATACACATACTAGGGCCAATTTATACAGGAGCCAATTAACCTGATATAACCTGATTATCTGATAATTAGGTTTATAGAAGACTTCAGACCCCTGTGACTGATCCCTGTGACCACCCAATCTAGTCAGTGGTCAATGCCCTTGGTGTGCATGAAGGTCCATGATTCAGTCCCACTATAGGCACAGATGCATGAAGAAGGTACTGTAGGCTCTCCCTGTGTTTGTCTGAATTTCTTCATACAAGTTTATCTGAAAAAAACTTGTTGGTAGGGGTGCTGGATACAAAAGTTAATGAAATCAGATTTTCAATTATGCTGTTTTGAACTGCTCTCCATCAGCAGGCTATTATTGCAGTGTGGGGATATCATTTAAAGGACACATTTTGTTTTGGAACCGTGTTTTATTGGAGCACCTAATCACTGTTTATTTGGGGACAGTGGACTTTTTTATCACCTTTTTATTAATTATTAGATTTTTGCACTGTATTGTTTATTATACTTATGTGTGATGGGTCTTTTACCTTGTGAGCAGCAGCATTAATCATTTGAGTTTTCAATTTGTCACATAAGCACGGGTTATTTATTGTTTTTTTGTTACTGCAGTACCTGGGGCATTCTGAATGATTTATAGAAGGATGAGAGCACCACAAAAAAAAAAAAACAAGCCTAGTAATTAATTAATTTCTCACAGCAAAAAGATCAGATGCTAAAGCCAACACGTTTCTGGAACTCACCCTCCTTTATCAGGGTTGTATGTTGGCAATGTTTGATAATACTGGACAATTGCCAATTTATATTAACATTGCCTATCTGACCTATCTGAGTGATTGACTCACCAACTGTGAATGCTTAGTACAAGTCCATTCATTGCGTGCCCACTGGTTGAACAAAAAACAGTGATTAATTCATGGGCTGTTTTAATGTTGCAACATACAAAAACATTTTTAGACAATTGTGGACTTCCAACCTTCTAAAAAAAAGATTTCCGTTGTAGTGGCCCCATACACAAAGCCAGCTCCATAAAGACATGGTTTGATGGGTTTGTTGTGGAGGAACTTGAGTGGTCTGCACAGAGGTCTTCCCTTAAACCTATTCAACACCTTTGAGAGGGATTAAAATACAGATTGTGAGCCAGGTCTTCTCATCCAACATTAGAACATGACTTCACAAATGCTCCTTTGGCTGATTTGACACCAATTCCCACAGACACACTCCAAAACTGATTAGAATGCCAGAAGGAAATTGTTATAGCCAGAGTGGTTGGGGGTGGTTGGAGAAGGGGGTGGGGGAGCAGTTTCATATTATTGTTTCTGGTTTTGGAATTGAATGTCCAACCAATTCATATAGTCATTATAGTCAGGTGTGTCCCTAAACTTTTACCATATAGTTTATGATCACAATGCCAAACATGGTACATTTTCTACAGCCAAGACAACCTTATATACAGACGTGGTTGGTTCCTAACATAAAGGCATCTTAGGCTAGACATCAGCCGGACATGGAAGAATGGTCCAACTGGAATATGTACAGTATGAAAGATCATGTATGCTCTGTATTCATTTGTTTATGTGAAAGAAGCGGGAAAAAAGGGAAGACAACTCCACCCATAACTCACCTCAGGGGATTCAACAGCAAAAGGAAACTATTATCAAACCTGTCTGATCACTAGTTCCCCTAAAATGCATCAGCCGGGGATGTCTATTATTTATCTGTCCAAAGGCAGGAGACATGCTCCTCATTTTGGCAAAATCATAGAGAATGGTCACTGTCATCTCCTGTCTTTGACCAGTTTATGAGATTGGCGCACAGATACAACTTGTATTGGTTAATCCTAAAGCTGCAGTGGAAACAGCCACATCCGTGGGGAAAGTATTGTTGAGGTATAATTATCATCAGTAAAAACAGCTCAGATTGTGCCAGGAAGGGTGTGAGATTCTCAACGAGAGGGAAGGAGACTTTACATTCCTTTACCTGAGCAAACAGGTTGACATAAAAGGGGAAAATGTCAGTTTAGTCAATAAGCTTCATAAGTATCAAAACAAATGAGATTATATAAGAATTTTAGCAGATAAACTGAGATGAGAAGCTTGTACTTGTGTGAACATGATTACAAATACGGTCCAGATAAATGGCTTGGTGAAGAGTGCCACTTCTACGCGCCAATGCTTAGCCCATAAACCAACGCTCCTTTTTTTTATCTTTTATTTTTGAAGCATTTCAACATTCCAGGTACATTGAAAAATAGTAACAAGGTTGCTTTACTGAAGTAATGAACACAAAGTATACAGATTACAAGTTCGGCAATGGAACTCAAAACCCATCAACTGTGGAGGAAATAATCAAATAATGTATCTCTGAAATCCCAGTGCCATCGATTCCTATACCCTTCCTACTAGTATACCAAAAACCCTCAATGCCATGCTGGAATCAAAACAACCAAACAACCAGGGGTTGGAAAAGTAAAAGTGGGGGCTGGGACTGGATAGGGACACCACGCAAGCTAAGTAGGCAATAATGAGGGAACTAATTAAAAAGCTTCTCCAACAAGAAGGGGGCAGACAATGGGATATCTGCAAAACACGGATGCAAGAAGAAAATAGCCCAG